GCCTAACAAGCCTTATTTCTATTTTGAATATATTTACAAAAAGAGTTTTAAAGCAAGTAATTTGTTTTATAGATTTAACATGATCTACATTGTATGAAAATATTAATGATTCATCCTGACTAGCGTTACCAAGTAACATCATGTTACTTGTTATCAATTTGATTTGATAAACTAAAGCCTATTGGCTATTTAAAAAATGACCTAGTCCTTACACATGTCCTGCCAAAATTTCCTGCTTCACCTTGAAAAGAAAACAGAGAAAAAAACAAAACAAAACTAAGCACCTCTAGCCATTTCTTAACACTCTCATTCTAACAAGACAATTAAGAATTCCTAAAGACACTTAATAAAAAGCACATTAACATGTGTAACATTCACAGTTGTGCCTAATCTTAAATCGCCAGCAAATTGATCGTGAGTATTCGTTATCACCCAGTCCAAGCCAGCAGATATTTGCAAAACAGGAAAGCAGCCAAAATGGCACATTTAAAAAGTTGTAAATGCACACAGTGCACTATACACACACACCACCGGTAAAGAACTCTTGCATTACAAAGGTTGCAAATATAACAACTCATGTGATATCACTCCTGAACTGTGTCAACGACTAATAAAAGAAACATATGCTATTTCTTGTATCTCCTTCATAACACAAAATAGAGTTTGACCCTGTTTCGTTTAGTTATCAAGCACACACAGTTATGTCAGTTTAAAATACACAAAAGATACAAAATATGAGCAAATGTTTTGTTTATGCCGAAGCTATGCAATGCTTTGATAAATCAAATCCTTACTGAGCAATCACACGAGAAGCGTAATCACACTGGGTGTGATCCGTCTGCACATTAATGAGCATTTACACACCATATTGTTCCCAGATAATGAGAGACACAAACAACCGAAGAAGGAAAAAGCGCAGAGGGAGACGAATGCCGGGGCGACACCCTGCCTGTTTAAACAAGTGTCATACTCAAACACTTTCTTGTTGTGTCTTGTACAATCTACTCACCGTAAAAAATAGGTTTGATGCTCATAAAGAGAAGCATGTTATTATCAAGGGCTGCAGGCGGTTAGTCGTGACAAACGCCACGTTATTTTCTCGAATGTTACTTGAACGCATGGCTTACTGAGATCTATGCAATTAAACGCTTTCGAGTGTCTTTCCTCGTGTTCTTTACACAGGAAATGATTGTCATAAAACCAACCAAATCATTATTCATAATCCAGTCTTACTGTATGGCTGGTGTAAATGAGAAATCATGCTGTATACCGAGCTCAGCCTTCTCTTTGAGGACGTCCTTGAAGTTGAGGCCGCTGTTATAATAAAATTAATTTAAATACAATTAAAAAAAAAATACTTTTATTCAAGGATGTATTAAAATGATCAGTGACAGTAAAGATTTACAATGTTACAAAAAGACCTCTACTTCAAAAATTATAAAATAAATGCTGTTTGTTTTTTACAAAAATATTTGCAGCAAAAAACACTTTCATTTTCAATAAAAATGGTAAGTTGACCGCAACGTAATGACCCCATTACCAAATTTTTGACTCCACACAAACAAACTAATCTGATTACATTATTTGCAAAATAAAAGTGTGAACAGTCCTAAAGATCGGATTTGAAAAAGAAATGAGAATTGAGGTTCAACGTGCACAGCCTAAGACACAAGACAAAAAGAACATTCATTTCTTTCTTCTAATTTACACACCATATTGTTCCCAGATAATGAGAGACACAAACAACCGAAGAAGGAAAAAGCGCAGAGGGAGACGAATGCCGGGGCGACACCCTGCCTGTTTAAACAAGTGTCATACTCAAACACTTTCTTGTTGTGTCTTGTACAATCTACTCACCGTAAAAAATAGGTTTGATGCTCATAAAGAGAAGCATGTTATTATCAAGGGCTGCAGGCGGTTAGTCGTGACAAACGCCACGTTATTTTCTCGAATGTTACTTGAACGCATGGCTTACTGAGATCTATGCAATTAAACGCTTTCGAGTGTCTTTCCTCGTGTTCTTTACACAGGAAATGATTGTCATAAAACCAACCAAATCATTATTCATAATCCAGTCTTACTGTATGGCTGGTGTAAATGAGAAATCATGCTGTATACCGAGCTCAGCCTTCTCTTTGAGGACGTCCTTGAAGTTGAGGCCGCTGTTGAGCGTGGACTCTCTGTATTTGTGGAGCGCTTCTCTCTGGCCGTTCTTGCCGAGCTCCTTCAGCACGGTGGGTTTCAGGGGTACGGCCGGCAGACCCTTGTTCCAACTCGACACGTCCGCCACCATCCATTTCACCAGATCCTCCAACTTCACTATGACTTTCTCAGAGACGGCGATCACTTCATCCTGTCGAGAGGAATACGCAAAGTGAGGTGTAGTGGCAAAACACTCTTAAATTCCCATTTAATGAAAATATTCACCATTTTCTCAATTGTCCCCTACTCTGTGTGTGGCAAACAAATGTTAATAAGGTTAGTAAGTCATTGATATTGTGGTATCCCAAAATTAGTAATATTTATTAAAAAAAGAATAAATAAAAAATTACTATAATTCATAATGTTGTAATTTCGAGTGCAATTCCATTTTAATGCATCACTAAGGCATTACAATGACTTCGCCAAGCAGTCTTGTTTGTTTTATTCGTTTATAAAAGTTAAGCAAGAGCTTTGCTCGTGACCTGGCACGGGATAACAGAACGGTCCCAGTTATAAAGGGAATCTGGGGAACAGATGCGTTCGGATTTGGCAGAGCACTGGATCATGCACTTTTGACTGACTCCACTGCACTGTTCAGCACGCTGAGAAAATTCACTGAATGCTTCCTCCGCATTGTTTGGCTACGCTTCCCAAGTGTGACCCAATAACGACGAGCATAGATCAGAGGGAATACCTGCTCTGCGACACTACAATATAGTTCATTTCTTTGTTTTTTCTCCGTTCAGGGCTTCATTCTGCCACATCTGCAGGCAGCACTAACTTTCTGCTGAACAGGCCATGTCTAATTACGTCCTCTTTAAGTGGGGCTGTTTCTTTTTAGGTTTCAGATATTTTTTTCTTGGTTCCATAGAATAGGTCCCATTGTCATGCTGTCAAGACAGAGTAATGTAACTTTACTTCAGTGTACTTAACCGCACCATATGAAAAGGTTTATAAAGTTATCAAGAGGTACAAAGTCAAGGGGGTTTGGCCTTAATAAAAGCCGCAAATGAAAGGATATGAATGCGTTATCTATGATTTCCTTGCAATGGGGCATGTATGCATTCCTCTATGTTTACATAGCATTCCTCTGCAATGTACAATACTGCAGTTAAGACCAGTGGAAACTCAACTGGTGGGTAAAGACCCAGAAATGGAAGATCAAGAAGCATAAACAATCAGAAAAAAAGGTTTTAAAAAATGCAAACAATAAAAAAATTTTTTATTACTTTTGCTTATTTTGCTTTGCTAACTATGCACCATTATTTAGTCAAATAAAATAAAATAAAATTAAATTAAATTAAATTAAAAATAATAACATTAAAAATAAAATGAATAAAGAACAAAATAAACAAATAAATAAATAATGGTAGTAAAAAATAAAAATAATAAAATAATAAAATAAATAAAAAGTAAGATACATTAAAAATTAAATGTAAGTAAAGTGTCTACTTTTAAGGTTTCAAATAAGTTTTTGGAGAATAAAATGTCAAAATTTGGTTGAAATATGTTATATTGTCATTCAGTGTAACACAATTTTTATGTAAAAATTCAAACAACATGCTTATTCTGATGTGTACATACTAAAATATATAAAAGAATAAGGGAGCATATTAAATTTGATTGTGTTTTAAATGAGTAAAAAATTCTTACTGGCAAATGGGCAAAACCTAGGATAGTGGCAAATTTAAAAAAAAAAGTAAAATTATAACTAATTAGTATTTGGGGTGAAAGTAATTAGTCT